TTATTACAAGCATTGCACAGCAAGTTGGACAGTCCATAATGGACCGTCTTAAGGGTGAATGTGGGGAAGGAGGTGTTCAGGGTCTGCAATTTCAGGGCAGTGTGGGCCAATCGCAGAGTGAACCTATTTACCTCAACTTGACTGGGGCAAAGCTAGTACTACAGCCAGATGTCAAAGAACCCCCCACCTTCAGGGAAGATGGATCTGACGAAAATACTGTTGGCGAGTGGGAAGAGTTAATGAAAATCTACTTCAGAAAACAAGACACACCCACTAATGAACAGTACTATGAGATCCTCTCTAAGTTGATGGGAAAGGCTAAGGATATTGTGAGGATAACACTGCGAAGCAGCCCTTCACTAAAGCCTCAGGAAAAACCAGACATTGTCTACAGCAGTGGTTCCCAAACTTTTTTTTTTCTGCGCCCTCCCCCCCCAGTGGTTTCCAAACATTTTCTGCGCCCCCCACCCCCTATGGATTACAAATGGCTGTCTGGTTGAAACGACGCGTGTGACGGAGGTGGGGGGGGGGCGGGGGGGACATCGACTTCTTTGGGGGCAAAATGAATATACGTAGCTGAAAATAGACACCAACATCGGTAGCCTACAAGGTGCTTGTTAAGCTTAAGTTTCAGTATTGATATTAGCTAGTCATCTTTTAGCTAACATTACCTGCATCCAACAGCTTTACTCAACTCAGTCGGTTAGTTTGGAGGGAAAAACTGTGAAAAGTTCTTTGTTTTGCTGGTTTGCTGCCGTGATTCTAACACAAACCTACGTAGCTCCGCCCAGCAGCAGCAGGTCTCCTTCACAGGTGTAAACCCAGTGCGAGCGTCGTAGCGATCATGTTGCGTTTAAAGGCGGCTCGGAAAAACAGGTTACAACATGTTAACAACGGATTAAACAGTTTTAACTGCTGATAAAAGTGACAGAGGACACAAATATGGGAAGTGTGGAAGCCTCCACTGTATCAAATTGACAGAGGAATAACAGAGTTGGCCATTCTAAGGTAAAAACCCAGCGCATACAGTGTTCATGTTTTGTTTTGTTTTTTCATCCAGACGGCTTCCCGCGCCCCCCCTGCAATGACACGGCGCCCCCCCTAGGGGGCGCGCCCCACAGTTTGGGAACCTCTGGTCTACAGCATCCTCAGACAACATTTTAGTGATGTGCCCTATTCATGTATGCCGATGGCTGACTTTTACAACACTGTGCCACTAGCAAGAGAAACACCTCTAGATTACTGGGAACGCTTGAACAAGGCAGTTGATGCAGCAGAAGAGGGCTTGAAGAGATTAGGAAGACATGTAGATAACCCTTGCCAAGAAGCAACTGTGATGTTTGTGAAACATTGCCCAGATCCAGCGCTTGCTGCCCTTTTGAAGTTCAAAGCACCAGACAAATGGACGGCCAGTGAAATTCAGGAGCACATTGATCGTTACCAAATTGAAGCCAGAGAGCAGGCGGTTTCCAGGTCAAGATATCCTAAACTAGCTACAGTTCATGCTCAAGCTCCTGTTCTTGAACAATTATCACCACCCTGTCACTTAAGAGACATTCCATCACCCCAAGAAACTGGTGCAGCAGCCCTGCCACATTGTAATGACAGCTGCATGAAGACTTTAATCAGTCTCTTTGAACGTACACTCTCACAGAACAGTCAGACTGCAGGCAGACAGAAGTCACCCAGCCAATTGCATCACAAAGCATGCAGGGTTTGTCAGTCTTGGGATCATTCTACCATCTCACACTGCAAACAGAAATGACTGTGTTTAGCATGCTTTGAACCAAATCATATTAAGCGAGACTGTCCCAACCGTTCATCCATCAGAAGTGAGCATGGTCTTCAGTCACAAGATCCCCAGCATTTAAACTAGCTGGCCTGCATGGGATGAGGGGTGGTGTGGGCTCAAAAGAAAAAACCCTCAACAATAATGACATTGAACAGCAATATGAAAAGGCATGTGCAGCAGCACCAGTTGGTGCTAGGGTGATAGCTCAAAACACACGAGTTGAGCCATTTGATGAACTGTTTTATACACCTGTGACTCTGAATAAGTTTAAGCTACAGGGGATGCTTGACTCAGGTTCCATGGCCTGCACACTGAGTGAGAAGGTGGAACAAATGATGCTGAATCAGAACTCACTTTCTGAACCTGTACCCCTCTCTCAAGAAATTGTTCTCATTGGTTGTGGAGGGACGCTCAGTAAACCCCGCTGCATGTATGAGGTGGAAATGAAACTGTATGGCAAGGCCTGTGTTGTCCCTGTGTCAGTAGTGCCAGGCCAAAGAGACGATTTAGTCATTGGCACAAATGTCATAAGATTCCTCATGCATCAGCTGAAAATAACCAATGATTATTGGCGTCTAGTGTCCAGTCCCAGTCTTCTCCCAGAATGTGAGCAGTTTCTTGACATGATGGCAAGCACTTCTCGGTGGAGAGGTGAAGAACTCCCAGAGATGGTGGGCACAGTCAAACTACAACAGTCACCCTGCTGGCAAGGACTGAACATCTGGTGTGGGGTAAGCTGCCACATAACATTCCTATGTCTCCAGGGAGTACTGTGATCACCGAACCAACCTCATCCAAGTCGATGCCTCGTAACATCATGGTTGCTCGCATTATCACTCCCTGATGGGGAAATAGGTGGGTCCCTTTAAAAGTTGCTAACCTGTCAGACAAGCCCATCACGCTGAAAAGAAACAGCAAGTTGGCAGATGTGTCCCCTTGCCTAGCAGTTGAAGATTTTGAGGTTTTTCAAGGCATCAGCCAGGTTGAAACCGCTGCTCCAGAGAAGGGACATGTTAAAGAGGGGCTCACAGATCTGAAACTGCGATTGCAACAGGTTGGGCTCGGTGACCTTGATATTGATTCATGCCACACTAATGATGCAGGGAAAACAAAGTTGGTCGAGCTGCTCGAGAAATATAATGATGTTTTCTCTTAGCATGCTTAGATTGTGGCAAGGCAGAAGGCTTTGTACATTGCATCCGGCTTGTTGACGATAGACCATTCCGCCTTCCATACCGCCGAATCCCACCAGCTCATTATCACAAGCTGCGCCAGGCTTTATCCGACATGGAGGAACAGGAGATAAGAAATCTGAGTGAATACGCTTCCTTATCGAAGCTGATGGCATTAGCCAAGATGGGGTCCAAGATGCTTTTCACCTAAAAGTCCAGAGCCAAAAAGTGAAGAAACCATCTTGTGGCAATCCAGAACTCCACTGTAGTTCACAACCTTACCCGTATGACGCAGTGGCAGTCAAGGCTCTTCTGGAGATGCATGACCAGTGGGATTTGGTCACTGAGACTCGTGCGGTGGCACTAATTCAGTCTGTCCAAGATTTGGGTGTACCAGGGCAAGATTCCCTCCCTGTGTTCACTTTGGATGAATTACAACATGCCCAAAAGCTTGACCCTGATGTTTCCAAAATCTTGCCATTCATTATCCGAGAGAGACATCCATCCAGACGTGAAAGAGCAGGACTCAGTGTTGGAGCTATGGTGATCATTAAGCAGTGGGAGAGGCTCAAGATTAAAAATGGGATCCTCTATAGAGTCACTCGAGATCCCCTCAGCAAACAGAAAAGACATCAGTTTGTTCTACCTGATAGCCTCAAGGAAAGAGCCTTGCAAGGTATTCATGACATGGCTGGACATCAGGGGCAGGCACGGACACTTCACCTGGCGAGACAGAGATTCTTCTGGCCGAAGATGGATACTGATGTGAAGGAGTATGTCAAGTGTTGCCAGAGGTGGATTCTTGCCAAAACACCAGAACCTTGTGCTCGAGCCCCTCTTAAAAGCATAAGAACCTT